GTCATTAGCACCTCTAGTAATATATTTACTGAGAAAAATGGTGACGTGTTCAATACTTATTTTACCCGTTGTATATCCAGAACAGAGGTCCCACCTTTGACATGTCCTCCCCTGGAAGAAAACTTTGTTCCAAAAATTTTATTCAGAGACCAGCTAACCAAATCCGTAACAATTAAAATGTCCATAATTTCTGGTTTTGGATGAAAAATGTAGAGAATGCTCCAAGCAGCAAAGCAGGGAAGATAAGGAAGGGCAGGAGAGAAGGAAAAAGTGTCTTACTCCTCCGAGAGTGGAGGAAAAAATAAAGAATAGAATAGAACCAGCCTTTATTGTCCAGCAGAGGTGAAATTCAGGAGCAGCAGATACATCACAATAATACACAATACACTACACAGTTCACAGTATATTGCTATGCAACAATATAAATAGTAGTAATAATAATAGAATAAAATAAAAATAAAAAATAATATACCATACAAAGCAATAAGAATTGAAATAAGGTGCTGTGCAGGAAAATGACAGAAAAACAGTCATGACAGGATCATGTTCAAAGGGGYTGTGCAATTACATCAAGTTAGGTCATTTACAGCAATGTGCATATTGTGCAGTGTAATATGTATTGGAAAGGCAGAACATTTACAGTAAAGTGTTTCAGTATGAAATAATAGATGTGCAATAGCCACAAGAGTGTTATTTATGTWATGATTGAGGAACAGATTTAAATAAAGTTAAATGACTTTTGACAACAGTGCTTACTAATGCCAAGTACAGCAGACATTTTAAGAACATTATCTTACCTGAGAGTTGAAGTCTAACAGTCTCAAACTCAAATTATTTTAATTAGATTTAAAAACTTTACCAGATAAATTAGATACATGTTATGAAGCTAATCACCTGGTTTTGATGTAGCTCAGCATGAAAGGAGTTTTATATAAACATGAATAGAAAGAAATACAAAACATCAATGAAGAAAAGTCCATTTCAAATAATTCTCACATCTTTTTAAAAATAGGTAAAATAAAAATGTCAAGTTTTAAGTGAATTTTAAGCACTGCTGTAATGTCCAGTGTTAATGAGACAAAGAACAGCTATCACTACAAGTCTGTCCCATTACCATGAATACAGTTAACTTATATTCCTATTTCCTGTACCACACGACTGRAGAATGTAAAACGTGCTGAGTAAACTGATGGTTCTTCATCATTTATCATGTTTCTGATGTATGTACACAGTGTAAAGATGACACATAATTAATCACGTTAGCACAAATGTGTTTTGATTCAGAGACACAATGTGCAGTAGGAGTGATAGGTGGGTGTCACTGGGTGGGATTCCATCACAGATCAGTTCTGAGCTCCATTCATGGCTGTAGTGAAGGAGGACGTGCTTGGGACTGGTTTACAGAGGAGGACGCTGAGAGAGATGGAGGCAGATGATTTCCTATGGAGAGCCCTAAAAGAAGCAGCCAATAGGAGAAATAAAAGAAAAGGAAAAGAAAAAGTGGTAGATTAAAAAGAATTAGTCTCAGAATCAAGTCTGTTTTATTTTAGATCATGACTCAGCATAAATGTGGAAGCTCATTTCTTTAAACCGTTTCTTCCTTTGAAGGTCCTCTTTGGTTCATGTTTGAAACGCAGCGTCACAGATCCATCGTTTCGAAGGTAAATGAAGATATTTGTAAATCTACGGTGCAGATGTTTCCACACTGTGAGCTCTGACTCACTGAGAAGACTTTTCAGTGTGGCTCTTCTTATATTCTCCTTCGTTCACTGTTGTGCCTTTTGTGGGCGTCTCTCTGAGTCCTCAGACACCTCACTCCCTCCAGCAGCATGGGGGTCCCATGATGGGGGTCTAACAAAACAAGAGGACAAAATAAAGATTTTTTTAAATCAAATTGTACTCAATACAGCTACGTTGAAGATCTTTGGCTTGAGGCGCAAAATCTTTAAAGCATAAATGAAAAATAAAATGATATCACACAAATTATCAAATAAATATCTAATCCATTAAAGTCAAAGTAAAGTAGATGTCACATATTTCACATAAAGTTTAGACATTCTTCTGATAAACTGTATTTTTTAACCCACCTGCTGCTCTTTGGTGGGAATGAACCAGGAGGCCTCATTTTAAAAAGGTATCATATCATGCTTTTAAATCCTTCTTTTCACGTCTAAATCATTCACTTATGGTCTATTTAAAATAAAACTG